CCTGAAGGGGCAGGGGCCGGGGGCACCAGATCACACAGCTTTGCAACTAGTGTTAAACCCACTGGGATGTGCACAATACTTCTCCCTCAATGGCCTCATGCCTTAGCCCCAAAATGTTCTGTATAGTTAATGAAATAAAAGAAGACAGAAGAACACAGCTTCCTTACCCCACTTTGGGGGGCGATGAGCTCTTCTTAGGATCTTGGGCACATCTCTCTATCTAGGGAAGTACAAGAACTCTTCCTTTCTTTTCTCCTCGCTGGGCAATGGAACAGAATCGATAGAATCAGTACGTACCACTCAACTGTAACCTTCCCTGTGATCTATTGCCCTGGAACTTTCCAGTGTTCAGTTAGCAGACCCTTCATTGGCCCCACTCGGACACTTAGTACTGTCACAAACTGGACTCATGAAGAAAGTTTGCGAGAGCATGTCGGGGCATTGCTCCCATCTCAGAAGTATACCACGAAGGATCATCGTGAACTTCTGTACTAAGATTCTTGTCTCAAGTTCAGGAAGAGTACTGAATGAGCAATTTCTCAGTTTTTAAACAAACTAGCCTGAGTGTTACAAAGCTCTCAGGTGTATGACTACGATCACTCCTCTCTCACTTCTAAAAGGTACTGGCAGCAGAAAGACAACCTACAGAAAAGCAGAAACAGATTCAGACCACTGTCCCCTCTCCTCCCCCTGCAAACTCTGGACTGGCCTTTAGAACTTCTTCCCACCGCCGAACACCAGGCACAAAAGTTACCTTACAGATCATCTCCAGTCACCCTTCTGACAATTCAGACTTCTAACGAGCGCTGCACTTTACGTCAAAAAGAGGAAAGAATTCTTCAAAGATCATTTATGGTGGCTTACTTAAATAAAACCAAAATTTGCTCACTGCAGAAAGATTATAGGTTAACTGGAGCCAAAATTACAAAAATTCAGGAACGCTACTCATAAATTGCACACTTCTGTCATAGTAAGAGAAAACTCACCACTCTATGAATAACACGCTTAGTACAGTGGAAATGGTAAGCATTTTATTTGCAAGATCACACCCAAGGAACAAGGAGTTGCCTAAACCACCCGGTCAGCGGTACACTGCAAAGATCCCTGATCCAATGCGTGAGGCCGTGGCATGTGTACCCAGAGCCCCTTCTCCAGTACTGAGTCTTCAGTGTGCCTTATCCTCATTACGCAAAGCTTAATGAATGAGGGGCATAGAATACCTGTGGAACTTTAAAAGAAACCAAAACTCACAAAACCTCATCTATTCAACTGTTGTAATTGTGAGAAGTAACAAAGGCAGGATAGCAGGACTTAAAAGATACCATAGCCAAAGAACGAGAGTCTAATTTCTGTAGTGCAGTAAGCTCGTAAGTGAATTTTTTCTTTCATTTTGATTTCTGTTATGCGACCTGGGAAACAGTAAGAATTAATAAGTAAAATGGCATTAATTAAATCAGGGTGGTGCTGGCATAAGGAAAGACAGATCAATAAAATTGAACAGACAGTACAGAAACAGACCCTGGTAAAATAACTTAATACAGAATAAGGCAGGCATCATAAACCAGGGTATAAGGGGCCGGGGAAGGAGATTTATTTAACAACGGTACTGGAGCTACCAGTTAGCTACCTGGAAAAAAAATAAATTGTGATCCTCACCTCTTGGAATACATGTGCCAAAATTAATTCCATATGGATGAAAAATTTAGGAGCATTAAGACAAAAAGCCTAGAAAAAGTCATGGTAAATGTTTCTGATTTCAGGATGGGGAATATTTTAAAACAGTGGTAGAAATTACAATGAAAAAGATCAAAAGATTAAAACCATAAATATTAAATTTCACAAGAATAAAAAACATTACCATCAACAAAAAACGAATGGGAAAGTCAGCAACAAACATAACCAAGGATTAAGATCATCACTACACAAACAGTACAAACAAATACACCAGGGAGAAAACAGAGCGATTTGTTTATAAATAAAAAATTGCTTAGGTTCACTAACAATTAAAAAAAAAATTACCTTATCAAATGATAAAAATTAGTAATACTCAAGGATGACAAATCTAAGCTGTGTACTCTGATTTCTGGGCAAAGAGCTGGCTGGTGGATTTTTGCAAAGCAACTTGTTAATATGCATCAGTAATCTTCCATTTTCATAGTCTTTGACCCAGTGGTTGCCTTCTGAAAATCTAAGGAAATATTCGCACATGTGGACAAAGATTCCTGCCTAGTTTAATCAAGAATATTACTTATAGGAGCTCCTGGATGGCTCAGTGGGCAGAGCATGCAACTCTTGATCATGGGGTCATGAGTTCGAGCCCTATGCTGGGTGTAGAGATTACCTGAATGAACTCAAAAAAAAAAAAAAAAAATTACTCGTAATATCTTAATACCAAAGACAACTTAAATGTCCAAATGACCATTAGGAAGATAGTCAGGAAAGTGTCATAAAGCCACAAGAAAAAATATTATAGAAATATAAAAATTATATCCATAAAGTATCTATACTAACATGGAAAGTATTTAATTCTAGCTTTAAAAGGCAATATATAAAGTTTTATATAAAGTATAATAATTATTTTAAGATAAAAATGAATAGAAAAGCCTGGGAGAAAATGTGTTAAAACATTCACAGTGGTTTCCTGTGAGTGGGAGTAATATGGCTAGTTTGTCTTTTCATACTTTTCTGTGTGTTGCAAATTTCCTACAGTGACCAGGTATTATGAATAAACTTTGGTAATCACAAGAATATAGCCAACAAAACAGCACTTTAAGGGATAATCAAGCACAGATTGCTCAACCACATATAAACACATACACATAAATACATATAATTTATTTGTATTTCCACCACTAATTTACTGCTATGTAACTTGGGCCTTTATATGCACATTTAATTTAGTAATTCGAAAAAATAGCTGGAGTTTTATAGCTCTGGTCTATTAGCATTTTATTTGTCTTATGAGATCACCCCTGAAGACTACCTAGAAGCTGTTTTACTTCAGGGCTCAGCTGGTTACCAAAGATGTATCGGTTGTTTTCTAGAACATCTAGGGCACATACTGCCCCACGGTGTGAAGGACAAGAGCCTGGCACAGGTGTCGATCCTCAAGAGACCAGACCATCTCAGCTCGCTAACGACCGAGGAAAACGGCAGAGAAGGCAGGACCGTGTGGTGCCAGGAACACCTGTCAGAACGTGGACGCTGGGTTATGAAGGAACAGAGACTGGCCAAGTCCTCTGAAACACGGACTGGAAAGGAAACAGAAATGATGCAAGATAAAAACAGTAAGTACAAAACTGAAAACGGCAAGGAAAAAAAAAAGCATAACTCCGAATGACAAGGCCATTTGATCACTGGTTTAAAACAAAGGGAGCCTACGAAGCCTAGTGTAGGTAGGAAGGAGAAGAGCAGCGGAATTAGGAGATGCAGCCAATGAATCCAACTGGCTACTCTGGCTACTGGTTTTTAATTTCTGCAGCTCTGCCAACGGAGTAACATTCGCGAAGATGCCAGCACTTGTTAAAAACAATATGTGAGGAAATATTTGTTTTCTTAATATTTAACCAACAGGTTTTGCTATGTTTTTGTGTTCTGAAAAATAAAAAAGGCTAAGGCATATACACAAAAACACACCACACACATTTTATCCTATTTTAAGCATCCGTGTGTCTGAAACAGAACTTGAGAGTTGATTTAGGTGTTACAAATAAACTTGGGACCGTAACACTGATGAGCACAGAAATCCAACATTCTACAGAAAACAGGAGGAGGCTCTGCCCAAAATCTAGTTCTCGCTTCTGCAAAGACACACGCTCGAGAACTTCAGGAGGCTTATTAAAGGATGAACTTTCAAAGGAAAGTCTGCAGATCTGGTCTGCACTTTCCAGCATCTGACCACGGCCGTGACACCCGTTCCACGCACGTGACACCTAAACACCCACACTAGGGGCCAAAGTTTTCGAGTCTCCGTGTCGGCTCAGAGCTGCTCAAACGTGGCACCGCCTTGACAAATTTGGGGTATGTCGACGTCCCACCTGCACTATTACTTACCATTTTCTTTAAATCAACGCATTTTTTTAAAAACAGAAATACCTACTTGAGGCTTGTCCTAAGCAAAAGAGAAGTCACTAGTTTCATGTACTACTTAGGTTCTGAATACATATTAGAATACATGCTTAATGCTTAAATACTGAAATAAAAGTGCGTCTCTACAACATCTACAAACATGGAACATGCCATTAAGCGGTGAGACGGACGGCCCTTTAGGAAATCCAACCCAATTTCAGTTTCTGCAATAAAGTAAACCTTGAAATTGTTCACAAAGGTTTAAATTCCAAGCTTTTATTGTCAGGGCAACTATAAAAAGTCCAAATCTAAAAATGTGTGATCATTAGAACTCTCGAGCGCTTGGTTTACTGCACAGACATCATACGCCACAAAAAGCCAACACTTGTAATAACCTCCTGTGAATGAGCAGTAAGCCTGCTTTGTTTTACTTGCTTCACAGGATCTCCTTAAAAGAAGCCAGTCTATAAACCTGCACTCACACTGCCACCCAACACTTTATCAACCTGCTTTCATCTCATGCCACTTGCATGCTTAGGCGGTCCTTCTACAATCTAACTTTCAAATACGTGTGCCTGCTCTCCCACAGACCTACTTACTACCCCGCTTTTGCCTCCTTAACCCTTGCCCTTCTTTGTTCCTCTTCCTTCATACAGCAGCTGCCCAGTAAATGCTTGTGGAACTGAGCAGAACCAATGCAATCCCAATCTCATGGCCACAACAAATGGTGTATTTGTATCACACAAAAAGAGACCTTTATTTTAAGGTTTGTGTATCTGCTTAAAGGTGAGGAATTTGCCAAGCATTTCTCAACACTCGGGACAACAGACAGTGATTAGAAAGTAACACCATGGCGGTTTTTCTTGTAGCTACTGCAGAGCCTCAAACACATACAGCTCAGGATAAGCTTAAAGAGAGTATAACCTAAAGACTTTCAATTATATAAATCAGCCTTTAATAAATTGTACACAGTATTTACTTAATAAAAAAAAGTTTATATTTTTCAAAGACATAGTTATTTCATGGTCAGCCCCATCCTCAAAGACTCCCATGAAAATATAACATTTAAAATAGAAAAAGAGGAATAAGTCAAATGACAGGAAGAAAAGTCGATTTACAGCATTTGATTTACTTCTGGACTCTCTTTCTGGTTTTTGAACCTTGAAGAGAAAAAACAAAGAAATTCCAATCATTAACTTATAAAAGCTAAAGAAGAGAAATACAAGCATTTCCATATATACTTATTTGTATTTAAAAATCTAATTGACCATGATGATTGGTGGAGATAAAATTCACAAAGGTAAGGGTTAATAGCCTGAAAATCTTTGGAAATTGTGTCAATTTTTTAATATGTCAAAAAATATGCTAGCATCTACCTTTCAGTCTTAAGTCACAACAGAACTCTCCCAAAGGTAAAAAAACACATCCCATTTACAAGGGCACTGAAATATTTCTCCCCCAAATTTTTATCTGCAATTTAAAACAGTAAGTCCTAATGTAACCTATAGCAACAAGACGGGCATTCATTTCTGGGAGGGAAGCGATGAAGTGATGCATATTTCTGAGAAGCAAGGAATAAAAGGTGCTGCTTTTTAAAGCCTGTTACCTATACTCTTTAGGCGGGAGAGCACCGGGCCATTCCAAGACACGAAGTCTTTTCCACTAGGAGTTAGAGAGACCCCAACTGAGTAGCCTTCTAAAGAAACGTCACACCTGATCCTGGTCTAAGTACCTTATGACAGTTTCTAGCCAACTACTCCCGAGTTGGAATAAATCAGTGATTCTTTACTGGGGGCAGAGTTCTGAATGGGAATTCCACACGGGAATTCCACCTCAGCAAGGAGGCTCTGTTCCCACCCGGCACCCCCACTCTACCTCAAGGCAAGCACAGCCGTCGGAAGCGTATGTGGAAGCCTGATCAGGCTGCCTAGCGCTGGCAAACAAAGTGTGCCTTCCCGCCGCCTCTGACTCCCTTGGTCAGGAAAAGAGCGACAGTACCAGGGTGAGGGGCAGCGCGGTCGCCCAGAGTGAATCAATGAATGCACTAAACAACAGATCAGTACTTCTTTCCTGAAACGTACAAAACGTTCTTTGAATCCAGGACAAAGTACTTACCGTACATCTAATAATAAATTCTAAAGGTTTCCTGTCTACAGGCTTAGTTAGTTACTTTGTGGAAGATCAGTTTAAAAATTAGTGTTTTTTTATTTGTCCAAGTTCCAGTTTTTATTTAGTTGCCATATACTTCAATTAAAGCAAACTTCAAATTTACGTGGATATTTTGTTCCTGCCATTGACATGCATAGCCTATGCTATGGTTTAAACTTTTGAGCTTTTTCTTCAATTTTTGTGATAGATAAAAATATATCCCAAGGTAGATTTCTAATTTTTTATTTCAAGAATTTTGAAATTAATTTTGCACAGAAAACTAAGAATGTGGTGATGGGCTAAGATGGGGTGTAATAGGGTATCCCAAAATCCAGGTCAGTAATCAGTACTATAGTACATCTTCATTTCAATAAAATTTGGAATCTATCGTCATGTTACAAAGGGCACTTAACAATAGCTATCACCATGTTCAAGGAGTCTTATTCTCATTAACATCCTAATTTGTCATTTTACTCTTAAATACCACTGCTGCTTATACCTTGCAATCTAGATTTAAAATTTTTCACTGCAACTAAAAACACTACCTGGAATTTATTATATAATCAGGATTCTACAACGTGGAGTCTTTGCTGCAGGTATCAATTCAGTATTTTCTCTAATAATTCTAACTGTGGCAGAAAAAATATTTTTCCACTTCTCATATATTATGAAAATGTACCCATTTTCATAATATATTACTACTGTGAAAGACTAATGTGTAAAATTTAAAATCTTTTTGAAAAAGGAAAAGTATAAGTCTGGATACTCTTGTATAATTTTATTAATGCAAAAATTTAAAACAAGTGGGAAGTGTCTTTGTAGTGTGCCCTTAAAAAGATCCCTTTTTTGACTGGATCATAGATATTCGAGAGGTAACTGTCAATTCTGCTTCCCTCAGATTTCTCAAGAATGGACCAAAATTCAAGATTGTTCAAATATAACATTAACAAGAGAAGGTTGTGGATTACTGTCCATTTTATGAACGGGAGGGACAAAGCAGCTAGTCATAAATATCATGGCTACATTAACTAATTTTTAGTACAATTCTGAAGTACTGGGACAGTTCCGAAATGCCAGAATATGCATGGTTTTTAAGGCTTATCATTTTGTGGGGGAAAAAATTACTTGCAGCAAATAACCAAATTTTCTCAATTGGTAAAAATTATGCCTTGCATAAAAATAAAAGGATTAGAGGCCTCTGTTCTTCTTGAAAACCACCCCGTCACCCCCTCTCTTTCTTTGAGAAAACCTACACAATACACATTTTGAAAGCTTTCAGAATGTGTTCTTACACAATAGACCCCCAACTAGTCAAAATGAGTTTAGGTGTATCAAGAAAATTATACGCGTTTTTAAAATGGTCTAAATAGATATTAAAGGAAAGTTGCTCCCATTTTGCCAGGCACAGCATTCTGAAAGATCACACAGTGAGAAAAATCTCTTACCATATTGTAAACCATAAATTGTGTTTGAAAATAAAATTGTTAATGAAGAAACTGACATTTCTAAAGCTGCTGCTGTTAGAGGGAACCATTCTTGAAACACGTTTATGACACAAAATCTTAAAGCTCTAGAACACAGAAGTCACTGAATTGTATTATAGATTTCCTTAAAACAAAATTCAAACATAATAATGCGCCTCCTCCTTCAAGTTACTTTAAAATGATGAATACAAATATATATTTTCATGAACACTGGCTTTCTTTTTTTTTTTTCCAGAGGCAATAACATTTTACCATCTCAGGTAATATTTCTCTCATTTATGAATATTTAGACAGTAAAATACTTTAACTAGCCCTGAACTTTATGAGAAAGGAAAAATTATAATAAGAAGAGAAATAGCATTTAAGTAAAGCAATTTGGAGTTTATATGAATAAGGGAGAATTCGATTATTCTCTATCTTCTTTTTGTTTAAATTGAAACAAAAAATCTGGATTGTTCTCCTTAAATATGCAACGGGGTCCACACTCTTCTTTTGTTATTAATAAATAAAACAAAAATACTAATATATTTTTTCCCCGTAAAAACCAGCAACGTAAGGACCTTAAATTAAAATTTTAGGTATAAAAAACATTTTTTCATAATTATAGTCCAATTTTAAAATCATTGATGTATCAAAACAAGTAACTCTAATGCTCACTAAAGCAAAGTTCAGGTAACAAATGACCTTCAGGCAGTCAAAAGAAGCATGAGTCTTCTCCATGCACAGCTGTGAATTCACTCTGGTCTAAATGGGTTTCAACCTTACTACCACAATGTGGGCCCTTTGCTGAACTAAAACTGCCCTTTTTAAAATATAAGGGATTTTTTTTAAGTAAGAATATTGCTCTATCTTTACAAATGCTCCTTAATTTTGCTCCCACTCACTGTCATAGCTGCTGCTGCTAGCCTCTGGCTGAGACAGGCTTCCATGCACTGCTCCTCGGGACTCCTCACTTCCTAATAACAAAACGAACAAGAAGGGGAGGCGGGGAGAACAGTAGGGCTTGGAAAATGGCTGCAGGAGACAAAAAGGAACTTCTTCAAAACCTTTAGCCTCCAGGGTAAAGTTCTATCCTCCCTCTCTAGATACCCCCAGGATTCTCTGCGGTGAATTCGTGTAAACCTAAGGATGTTCTAGTCATACTATACAAGAAAGACAACGCTAACAGAATTGAGTGAAGAAGATTCTCTTTGAAAGTCAAATGTTTGTCTTCCACAAACAGGCAAAGGCGACACGATCAAAGGAAAGGTAAAATACCTCCCTAGCCTGATTCAACAGGGCACTTGGGCTTTAATGAAACTTTTACCAAAAATGAGCCTTCTCTACTACAAAGTGGGAAATGTTTCAGAACCAACAAAAGAATAAATAAACGAAAAGGCAGCGAGATAGAAAAGAAATCTGGAAAAAGAAAAACATGGTACTGCAGCCAGCACTGAATCTCTTCATTGCGTCAAAGAAATTATCTCCTATGAAACCTGGAAACTGTTTTCCCTTTTCTGAGCCACCCAAAGGTGTGCCTACACGTCCCGCACTGGCCATCTCCTAAATGGAGCACACGGAAGGACGCCCAGCCCCAGCCCCGCTGTGCCCTTCGCAGATGTGGCCCTGCTGATGTCAATGCCGCCTCAACTCCATACCGTAAGAGGCTTCACCACCAGTTTACGAACCATCTCAGAAATGACTTTATACTCTGCTTTTTGCTTCAAGGGCTTGGAAAAGTGATGATTGAGGCTTTAATTCCTTGAGTCCCAACTTGTCGAGAGAAAAGAAGAGGTGGCAGACTCAGTGGGGAGCACTGGGGTGGCTCAGGCCAGTAGAATGGGCAGCCACATAAGCCCAGATTGCACTCGCCTGATCCGGACCTTCCCTCGGATCCCGTAACGTGGATCAATGTGCAGAAGTGGAGAGACGGTAGCCTGAGAGGTTAAGAGTTCCGGCTCTGCCATTTAAGGGCTCCGTGTCTCAGGCTCCCTCGATGCAAAAGCAGAGTAGCTTCCCACCCCAACTTTGTGATTACTGTGAACAGTAAACAGTACAATGTATGTACAAAGAACACTGTGATGATACTATACAAATAGAAGATCTTCTTGTAGGATATTTTATTATAAAATCAAAATGTTATGACTATAAGCTAACCCCTTACTTAGTGGAAGGAAATGAAATGTGTATTTTTATATGGAAAAAGCTAATAGGCAAGACTGTTCAACTTACGGGTTTTTGTGACCTCTTCTGTCTGTGTATTGGAGCATTCCATATCTTCAACACTGGATTTGGTGCTCTCCTCAATTCCTTTCTTGCGCTTGTTACACATAGATTTTTTAAAAGAGAGAGAAAGAGAGATTCGGTCTGATGGTCAAATAAGTAAATACACAAACTTGCCAGATACTAGTATATTTGTAAATCTATCAAGGTGTGGGTATAACAAAACATACAGTAAGAATACACACGACTACAGGGTGGTAGTTACCTAAGGGGAAGGGACTGTGGCTGAAGAAAATGGGATAAAGAGAATCTTCAACTGTACAGTTAGTCTGAACATCAGCTTGTTTGTTACAACCACCTCGAACTTTTTACCCTTCTTATAGTTCATCATTGACAGCCTAACCAGCAGAATTGATGATACAGAAACTCTCTTTTAAAAGCAAACCATTTAACAAATTTGGTTTCACCACTCAGGCCAATGACACGTACTCCCCCCATTTTACAATGTGTGTGGCGTATGCGGGGGGAGGTGCGGTAATCCACTTGATAATGGGAAAATATACGCCTTGTCCATATAGTGTATCACTGGTTATACCATATCAATCAGTGGTAAAATTCTACTCATGAATCAATAAAGACAAACTTCCAATAAATGTCTTCGTTTGGTATACTTCTCATTAAAAGTTTAAGGGGGGACACCTTCCTGTAAAGGAAGAGTCTTAAAAGTACACAGCTCTCCTAAAATCTCAAAAACAGGTTGGGTTTTCCACCATCCCCTCAAGCTTTTCCAACTTTCTATTTATTTTTCTAGTTAAGGGTTACTTAGGAGTTAATGCTTATAGTCTGTCACCAGCCAGCCTTCCCAAGTGTTCGTTCAGTTTCTTTTATTTTCTACCACTACGACATTTTCTAATTCAGTCCTGTGTGAAGTTTTTAAATTACTCAACACATCTACATGTAGGAATGACTACGAAGAACTCAGTAATAACTTTACAACTTTGCATTTCTCCTATTATAGCTTTATCCCATGTAGTCTCAAATTTAAATGTGTTAAAATCCAAATGATAACTCAAAGCTTCCCTGGGTTGCCCAGATTTCATTTAGGAAATCCTCTCATCTGTCCCAAATTTCAGATTCACAATGCACCAGAAAGTCCTCGCTTCTATTTTCTAACAATTAATATTAAGTTGAACTTCATCTGAGAATTTCCCTTGCTTCAGGCCATTCTGTACACTGCCTGCTGACAGCGCACCGCTCTCCTGCCTGATGGCAACCGCGGATTCTGTTCCACAGAGAGCTGTGTGGAAAAGCTCCACTCTACTCAAACCGCTTTACCTTAAAACCCCCAAATGGTCAGAACTGTTATTATCTACATATTACAAATAATCCCACTGTTTCAAAATATGCTTAAGGTGGCCGTGGAAAGACCAGAGCTCCAAGATCCCCGCCATGCTCCTTAAGAAAAGGCTTCACCCAGACAAAAACAACTTGACTAACCCTTAAGAAACCTTCAAAGGCATTCATTTAGCAGATTTGTATATGGAGGTATTGCCTCTCAAGAATAGCTGTTCAGAGTGGCTGTAACTTCATATAACTGATGAGAGAAGGGGAGAGTGCCTTCCATCTTTCTTTTCCAAAGTGTTGCTTCATGATTACCATCTAGACCCTGCTGGGCTGAACAGATTGGTTCGATAATTACATACAATAACTGCAGTGGGCAGGTAACCCTCAGCTGGCACAGGGCAGCTCCCCTGTGAGAACTTCCATATGCAAACCGCGCTGATGGAGTGCATTAGGTACATCTTTCCTGCCGGTGCACAGGCCTGATTAACGCCAGCCAAGACTCCAAGGTTAGCATGTCAGCAGATTTGTGATGCATTAGGCAGGAATAAACACAGACACTTTTGTTCATTCGGACCAAAATTAAGGAGGAATATTTCACTACTATATTGCTTTCCATACAGGAAAGAATGCATTTTCCGATTTTAAGGAGGCAGATTTTTAAGCGCTCATTATAAAGGGAGCTCTCCAATACATTCTACCTAAGAACCTAGTGCATTCATCTTGTTCTCAAGCTTATTTAATAAAAAAGAGCTATCTTAATCTCCATGCAAGTAAATTACATAGGAATGAAAATCAGCCAGTATTCAACCAACCAAAAAACAAAAGCCAAAAAAAAAAAAAAAACAAAAAACAAAACAAAACAAAAAAAACACCTGTATTTTAAGCATCCATGCAATAGGTAAAGTACTGAATTTCATTAGACCACACTCCAGCTGGATATCTCCTGCCCAACTTTTCTAAGAATGTATTTAGTTTTGACAAAAGGGGCCCATGTCTATAGGAAAAGACCAGTTAAACAAAACAAAACAAAAAAAACCCTTCATGTTTAAAAGCATCTAAGTGTGTTACTGATTCTATAAGGCAATGAGTAAAATTCCAAACAATCCACTGGCAGCTTCTTTCTCCTGATTATCTCCTAATGCTTCATTTTGTTATTTGTCAACATCTTGGGCTTCAGGTCGTGCATATTTGGGTTCTTTCCGAACAGAAAACGGCTTCAGAAAGGGACTACGTGAATCTGATTCTGTCATGTTCCACACCAGGTCCCACAAAGTGCCTCTGCATTTATAAATGAAATTAAAATATTATATGACACACCAGAATGACTTATAAACTTAGAATAGAGTTTTCTTTTAATTCAGCACAGCTAAAATATCTGCAGAAAATTAGGTTTATTTCAAAGGGCATTAGCGTATGTATTACACATTGTATTTCTGAAGTGTTCAGTTATGCTAGGCTAAAATTTAGTTAATTAGCAGCTTCTCACTTCCAGCTTAGAAACAGGAAGACAAATCAGCTAGATGCATTTGGACTGATAATTTACTAATAGTCTAAACACTGACTAGAGACCACTTAGAGACTTAAAGCTGTTTTAACAGGACAAAGAATAAAAATCTTGTGAGGCAAAAACCAAAGACCCGTTCATTCTTTGCTTCCCAGGTCACACATCAAAAGATCACCTCTAGATGCTTTCAACAGCCTCTAAGAAAAGCCAGTCAGATCCACGGCTATATCAAAGGTGAGTAGTATTTAGGACTGTTGTTGGTTTTTAACTCTTTATTACAAAAATCACAAATGTTTACTATAGAAACTTTGAATATACAGCCTAAAATTTCTAAATGTTTGGTACTGTACGTGTGTCAATGAACAGAGAACTCTAAATACAATTATTTGGAGACTGACTGTGCCAGTTTGTCTTATTTATTTACTTAAGGCCACCTGAAGTCACCGTGCAAACGGTAGGTAGTTTATAAACTAATAGCGTTATTTACTTAAGTTCCTACATTCATTAATAGCAACCAAAAAAACATTATTTGTTACTCGACAGTAACTAAAAAACCACAGAACACATATCTTCTATGAAAGCAAAGCAGACACGTGTGTTACACAGTACTAACAAAACCAGTGGAGTTAGTTAGAATTCACAATGGAGGCAGAAAACGCGGAGGCCGGAGACAGCAGGAGGCTAAGAGAACTGGCTCAGTGTTTCTCAGCTGGGGTGGGAGAGACTAGAACTCAGAGCCCTTCGCTCCTGCTCCAGGGGCCGTCTCAGACCCACGCCGCCTCCCTTACAGTTCCTGGCGGCTATGCTCTCACGGTAGTGCCTCACTTCCGAAAGAGGGAGAGTCCACAGAGCAGAGCCTCGTCCGCACTCCTGCTTCCCCCTTCTGCACGTACTCCCAGACGGCAGGGACGACGGCTCCTCACCTGTGCAGCTCCCGTGGGGCCTAGCATGGTAGTTTACACAGAAATACCTACGGGGCTGCAGCTGCAGAGCAACCATTCAACTAGTGTCGTGATAATGAAGAGATGACTTCCTATTTCGCACCAAGCCTTCTACAGCCTGTGTGACGTTTAAGTGCACGTTAAGTCATTGCAGATATATTTTGAGAAAAAGCAGGAAAAGGTCAGACATAATCAGAAAAAGGAGAAATGAAAAGATGGGAAGCAGATCAGGAAGTGAGTGACTTAAAAAGAAGAGCAGATTAATTTGGAGAATAATCTAAAAATATTCTGCTAGAATGCATTAAAGTGATTTATTATTTTAAATGAGTTCTAGTGATAAAGGCTGTAACAAGAATCATGACTATTACAACTTCCTTCCACAGTAACACGGGCCTTCACGTTGCCGGGGCAGAGAACCCACCATATATTTACTAAGCACCTACTGTGTGCCTGGCAAGGTCACGGGCTGCATTCTCAAGCTAAAAAATACATGCTAAAAAAACAGATTCAAGCAAAAGAGTGATCTTAGTTTTTACCAAAACATTAAACACATACACATCAAGTTTCTACAACTGTTAAGTCCTGGAAGAAATCACTTCAGGCTTCTGCAAATCATCATAAGGAAGCGTCCAAGGTAAGCCCACGTGCACGAACGCCATGTGGTGCAGTATCGACGCACCGTAAATGGAGCCCATGTGGGACTTCATTTTATCTGCAGTTGCTGTTGCTATTTGCTTACGTTCAGATGTCCTGTCAACACGTTTAGCTCATCTACTCCGGAGGTAGGGAAAGCAAGAACAACTCATGAATTCACTAATTGTTAACAGGTCTGGGGGAAAGGGTTTAGCCAAAGAAAATGTTTCCACATGTGACTAACAAAGTTTGGAACACTGTGTTCTTCACTAGTTCAAGTTCTCCACTCCTAAGATACCATGAGGAATGAAGAATTTACTGTTGGTTATCCGACAATGAATTAATGCTATCACGTGTACAAAAGTGAACTGCCAGGCGACTGTAATGTGGGAGACGGTCTATGAGGAGCTGAGAAGGTGACAGTACAACACGCGTGGTCTTTTGTGGGGGAAGGGCATAGATTCCAGTGGCCCCGATATGTCACACCCACAAACAAGCTAAACTGTGTGTAAAAATAAGGGACATCTGGGGGGTAGTATTTCAACCTCTGCCTCACCTAAACTCTGAAGAAATGAACACAAAATAACAAGTAATATTTCAGCAGCAACAGTGACAGAGCCTCTCACCATAACCATTGGGAACTGGTGGCCAAGAAGAGTCAGACACTGCTAGAAA